CACTCTAGAGCTGACTCTATTAAAGCCAGCTGCCTTCCAATTTTAGAGGTGCAAGACTAACCATGGAAATATGGCATGCATTTAATACTGTAATCAGCTCAGGGCTAGAACAGAAGTAGCAGCAACGTTAGTCCTGGGAGGTCAACTTTAAGGGCAAACCCAAATCATCAGGCTTATATGCAGTGCAAGCTAGTGTTATGTTTTCATGCTTCACCCGGGCAGGCCGCCTGGTTGACGTAGGCGTAATCAAATTGTGTGGGGTTGTAATTTTTGACAGATTGTCATTGGACCTTTCATTTCTATTAATAAGTTTGAAGGAAGGAATTATTAAAGTGGTTTCGACGAAAGCTGGAGAGAAGTGGCATTTCGAATGCTCATTTTAGCGAATAAGTTATCGATCTTCTAATGTATTAAATTCTTGTGAGAAAATTGCGAAATATGGTCAAAAAACCATTAATTTTCTTCATTTTATGACAGACTAATAAATACGCGGTGCTTACATAGTCAATTAACAAATCGTAAAACATGACACTTAAAATAGGTTACCTAGGAAACTTCATCTATAAGTTAATATTTATAAATAAGGGATCACAACTAGAAAAAAAGACTTTATCACTTTTTACTTTTCTGATATTACAGTGTTTTATTGACTTTCATATTGTGTAAGATTGTTTGATGTAGTGATTCACAGGTCGATGCCACTAGAAGTTGCCGTATGAATTCCCTTATTATGTAGTCGTTTAGTTTTACTATTACCCTTCATACATTGACTTATACAATTACAGGTGGAAATGTATAAACATACAAGTATGTAATTATTAAGATTAGCCTTGAAAGGAAGTAACCAACTGGTACTATGACTTCCACCTTATGTATATATTTTTAGATTATGGCCCTGAGTATAGAATAACTGTTATTGTAAGGTCGAATACTTTTTCTAATCTGGTGCTAAATCGATACTTTTGTAATAATGAGTTCTCATTCTGACTATATCTAGTGTATTTCATCCGAGACAAAGAAGGATTTTTCGTGGACCCTAGTAGCTTAAAGTTCATAGTAAAATCTTAATATTCTAACACAACGTGACTTTTTGGTTATTGGTGAGATCTAATTAAGAATGCCTACCTTCATCAGGAAAGTTACACAAAATGACCTTCGAAATAACAAAGCTAGATAGAATCCACATCTAATCGTCCTAATTTTTTTAATTTTCTCAGTAGTGGTGAGGCCTATTTCACTGACCAGATCCCATTTTTATACAAAGCCTGTGTGAGAGCCCACCTGTGCCTATTTAGCAGGACCTTGCAGGGTAAACACTTCAATACTATGCGATATATCATTCCTTTTTCGTTTAGGGTAATAAGAGGATAGTTATCTTAATTTTCCCACAATGATATGAGTAGACATAACGCTTCCATTGGATTTACTGGCAGTCTCGAAAGCCTACTTATAAACAAAGAATTACATTACTAGTTTGATGCCGTCCCGACTATGCATTCCCACAATTTTTGCATTCTTTTTATATTGTGAAATACAATAACGCCTTTAGGCGTTTCTGACTCTTTTTTAACTCTGACCTCTTGCTGACGAGTTATGCTGCGTATCTCACACGCAGCATAAAAGTTAGTTAAATTTAACCATGGTTTTCTCAGGCTTGATCAGATTAGTTAACTCGCCTCAAAATCGGTACGGTTTTTTGATTGGAATATTTCTGTCTTGATCCAATTGGCCTTCAGCTAACCAATCAGCGCAGCGCATAAGCAGTTATTTAGTTGACGCCCAACCTTAAAGATATGAATATTTGGCTTTTCACAATTAACACCTGTATTTAAGGCCGAGCTACTGCGACTGTCCTCCACTCTAATTTGTGTGTGTGTCTGAGGTTCAAGTACTCATATTCGTACTCTTCACATCTTGACTTGGACTCGACTCTGCCCCCTTAGATCTTCGAGCCAAGGGACACAAGTAAGCTGTCGAGGTCCGTGTCCCCGCCACACATGTGGATGAGAGGATATCATAAACAACTCATCTGCCGGCCTGACTGCGTGTCAGTCTGTCCTGCCGAACTTGACTTCTGGCATCGTCTTGATTCACTCGCCCCCTACCCATCTGCACCTTGAGAAGTCTCCTGTATTCTTCTCTTCAGACGTGCATCTCTATGCGCCTCCAGGGCTGTTATCGCTTGCAGACTAATACTAGAATCATTACACCTCACAGGGCAACCCTTAGCCAACGGGATGGCCGAAACTCAGGTCACTGTGCACGCGGACATTTTTGATCGAGCCCCCGGCGGAGGCCATCCCGGGGAACGGCTTCCCCGCTCCCTTGTTCCCCCCGACCGGCCACAATCAGCCGGCTCCCAGCTTGGCGCCACTCAGGCGCCCTATTATTACGACTCGAGCCGGCACATCGGAACTCCGGACAGTGGATACGCTCCCGGGAGTGGGGCACGCAGCGTCGGTGGCCTCGGATCGGGTCCAGCTTCGACTGCTCTCTCCTCAGGACCGGTTGGTGTCGGTGGTGTAGCCGGTGCTTATGATCGTGGCCCGCATCCGGCATCAAGTGGTCTGGACGGTGCTTCCGTCATGAGTGGATCTGATTTTGATCCTGGCCTACGCCGACCGGCTGGACAGACGGCCTCGATTGACCGTATCAGCCGGAGTGCCTTTGAACTGGACATACCCGACCTGAAGAATGTCCGAGAAGGTCGAGAGCGAAGTAGACAAGAGCTGCGTGTACTGAATGAACGTTTTGCTTCACATTTAGAAGTGGTGAGCCTACTTCACTTTGTAGCATCGGCCTGGGTTTGTGTGTCTATGTGCGCGAATGCTCCGAGACGGCCCGTCAGTGAATAAGAGTTCAGCGTTACATTCACCTTAGGTCGCATAAGGTCCATTGAATTTCACTCAGCTTGCATCCCAAAAGGTTTATTTTTCAATCTCGCTTAGTCTCATCAGCTCCACCTAGTGAGAATCGAACCCAGATACCATAGCATGAAATTTCGGCATGCTGCCACAACGTCAGATTATAGGACAGACGTGTATTTCAAAGAAGAAAAGGCCTCCTTCATATTTCATTTATTGTCAGATTATTGATGAAACCCATTTATATTTTGCCATTACATTCGAATACTTTACTTATATTCCGAGATAGTAGGGTTTCGATGCTATCCGCACATCTTGAACAAGAGTCCCAGTTACCAGCCAGTCACTCACAACCTTATGCGACCTAGGATGACTGAGTACTTAGTTAAGAGTTGCTGATAGTCTCAAAAACCTACTTTCTCTGAATATAATAAATACGATAATTGGATAGCTCTTCAGTATCCAGAATCAACAAGAAGCAAGCTGTTGGACTATATCTAAATGTGTAGACAAAGTAGAGCATGTGACCCTTACTTACTTCTTTGGTAGCATAACTTTTGTTTTAATGAGCATCGTGCACTCACGCATCCATTTTATAGGCTAATATATTATTTACTCTTATACTCTAATATCGTTGTTAATTACTTTTAAAGAAACATGGCATACTGATACAAGGTTTCCTAACAAAAGGCATTAGATATTGACCTGTGGATTCTTTGCTTACATGTAATCCATATCTTCGAGCAGGCAATAATTTTTGGAAAAATACGGGAGCCTCCTTTCTGAGCGAAACGAATACTTTTTTCAGTCTAAGTTCTTAACAATGCGCCCTAAAATTATTTGGCGAAAAGATGTAGAAACCAGAAATAGAAATAATTCCTTCTGAAATATGTCCTAATTTTTATTTGGAGACGGATGGTGAAAGAAGTGACCGAACAATTATTAGCAAATACTAATGGAGAAAAAAGGTATATTGTAGATTGGAAAAATAAGGTAGTTTGGCCTTCTGTTTAGTCACAGTCTCCTTTAGCTGTGTAGTGTTAATTTGAGATCGCTTTCGCAACTTGGTAGGACCAGCAGGGAGACTCTTTGGGACGTACCTAGTTCTGAGTTTTCTGCCATTGTATTTGTGAGTTTCAGTATCAGAAAATTGATCTTCTACATTACCAGACGTTTATTCTGTAGCATATTCGGCATCATCAGTGAGAGGTTCCATCGTTAGCACTGATTTAACACTTATCAAAGTGACAAGACAGGACAAATTGTAATTTTATGCTAACGTTGTCGCCTCTTACTTATAATGCCGGTTGAACGCTTAGGAATATACCAGGTCATTGGTTCGATGCTAGACTTAACGAGTTTTATGACAGAGGACTCAAAACTAGGTACGTTCCACAAGGCTTACAAAAACAAGTTTATTCCTTATTTCTATCATTGGGGAGCCTTGCATCGATAGGAAACTACATGCATTCTATTGAACTTGCTAGTTTATTGAAGCACTTTGGATCCTCACTTTTCTCGATATACTTGAAATCTACTAGTTGTTGATGTACTAGTAGCATCTCTGCCTATGGATCTGTGTTTAGAAGTCAATATCCGTTGCTAGACTAGGGACTTCAGGCCACCCTGGTTGGCAATGCATATATAGGATAAAATACAAACTGACAATAAATTTCACATGAGGATTTAGTTCCACCCCATAGAAACGCTCTCAACTATAAAGGCCCGAGCCAACACGCCACATATGACAATAATGTCTAAATTTCCGCTTAGCTGGCTAACAGCCTGTCAGAAATACGTCCTTTACCTGAGCTTACGCGTCTTCCCAATTACCAGTTATAATAAATTAGTTTTTTTAATATGTACGAAAAGTAATGGAGTTTTTCCAAGGTAAATAATTAGGAAAACATCTATCTACTTGTTGCTAATATGGATTGAGTAGTCAAAGACTGTTTTTTTAATTTTAACTTTAGAGCACTAGTCTGTGTACAAAGAAAAATCTGATTTTGGGAAATTTATAGTAAAAATGGCTTCAGATTAATATTTACCGTCATGATTTATGATTTTGATTATACGAAGTATTGTTGCTTGAATCGACACGATTTTTGAACAAAATCCATTCTCACATTTTTTTATGCTGTTCATTTTTAAGGCTGGGTAAGTTCCTCAATAGAACAGGAAAAATGTACAGATAAAGATATATATTTAAGAATCTTTGGGTGCCTATTGATATAAAGTAAAGATGAAAACACTCATTCTGAATAGATACAGCATGTTATTTCGACTACGAATCCTTGAGTAAACTCAATCATTTAAACAAGCTTATGTGTAGAGTTAGTGTGAATAAGAACGAGATGGAACTTCATAAAATCCAGTTATTCTAAGCTTTTAGTGTACACTATGTGTCTTTACTACTACTAATTTTGACAATCCATGTGACTTGATAAACAGTTGGGTTCGGCCAAACCAAGTCAGTCTCTACGACATATTTTCATGGTGATTCCTCTCTGTTAGGGCATTACTAATGACTGTATTAAGCTGGCCCAGATGGTTGACTAAGAAAATCTAGCATCGAAATCCGGATGCCATTAGCCCAAGTTATATTAAGCTTCAAAAAATTAAGTTTGTCTCATTTTACCATAGCTTTTTACTTTGCTTCGGCTACAGTAAATCGCAAATACTTAAGGAGTTCCCTTAAAGTGAGTTTGTAATTTCCATGTTGTGATATAATCTTATTCCTATTGATTTACCAAACTATATATGCATGGGCTTAGGGTCTTAGATACGCGTTTTAACTTAAGACTTCAAAAATCAATTCAAGAGTTTACTAGCGAAACATTATATAAATGTGCTCTAAGAATAGCTTAACTTACAGTTTTCCTTTTTCACTATTAAAGTTCGAGCAATGTAAATGACATTGTCTTAGTTTGTAATGGGTCTTTATATGAACATTAGTTAAAATAAAATCCTTTGAATCCAGAATCCGTATAATTTTTCTTAGCTTGCTAAGCTTTAAATATACCAGCCCTATCAAATATACCATTAATAGCCGCACACTTGCCAAGGTAGATTAGTCTATTCTGGTAATGCTAATCGCTTAACGAATATATAAGTTTATCTACAATATTGTTGGGGGGACTTTCATTTCGT